AGTCAGAACTTCTAGATGTAAACTCGTAATTACGAAAAAAGTCAGAACTTCGAGATGTAAACTCGCATTGTGATTAAAATGTCCTAACTTTGTGATGTAAACTCGCAAATGCGAAAAAAGTCAGAACTTCGAGATGTAAACTCGCATTGTGATTAAAATGTCCTAACTTTGTGATGTAAACTCGCAAATGCGAAAAAAGTCAGAACTTCGAGATGTAAACTCGCATTGTGATTAAAATGTCCTAACTTTGTGATGTAAACTCGCAAATGCGAAAAAAGTCAGAACTTCGAGATGTAAACTCGCATTGTGATTAAAATGTCCTAACTTTGTGATGTAAACTCGCAAATGCGAAAAAAGTCAGAACTTCGAGATGTAAACTCGCATTGTGATTAAAATGTCCTAACTTTGTGATGTAAACTCGCAAATGCGAAAAAAGTCAGAACTTCGAGATGTAAACTCGCATTGTGATTAAAATGTCCTAACTTTGTGATGTAAACTCGCAAATGCGAAAAAAGTCAGAACTTCGAGATGTAAACTCGCATTGTGATTAAAATGTCCTAACTTTGTGATGTAAACTCGCAAATGCGAAAAAAGTCAGAACTTAGAGATGTAAACTCGCAAATGCGAAAAAAGTCAGAACTTAGATATGTAAACTCGCAATTATGAGAAAAGTCAGAACTTCTAGATGTAAACTCGCAATTGTGAAAAAAGTCAGAACTTCTAGATGTAAACTCGCAATTGTGAAAAAAGTCAGAACTTCTAGATGTAAACTCGCAATTGTGAAAAAAGTCAGAACTTCTAGATGTAAACTCGCAATTGTGAAAAAAGTCAGAACTTCTAGATGTAAACTCGCAATTGTGAAAAAAGTCAGAACTTCTAGATGTAAACTCGCAATTGTGAAAAAAGTCAGAACTTCTAGATGTAAACTCGCAATTGTGAAAAAAGTCAGAACTTCTAGATGTAAACTCGCAATTGTGAAAAAAGTCAGAACTTCTAGATGTAAACTCGCAATTGTGAAAAAAGTCAGAACTTCTAGATGTAAACTCGCAATTGTGAAAAAAGTCAGAACTTCTAGATGTAAACTCGCAATTGTGAAAAAAGTCAGAACTTCTAGATGTAAACTCGCAATTGTGAAAAAAGTCAGAACTTCTAGATGTAAACTCGCAATTGTGAAAAAAGTCAGAACTTCTAGATGTAAACTCGCAATTGTGAAAAAAGTCAGAACTTCTAGATGTAAACTCGCAATTGTGAAAAAAGTCAGAACTTCTAGATGTAAACTCGCAATTGTGAAAAAAGTCAGAACTTCTAGATGTAAACTCGCAATTGTGAAAAAAGTCAGAACTTCTAGATGTAAACTCGCAATTGTGAAAAAAGTCAGAACTTCTAGATGTAAACTCGCAATTGTGAAAAAAGTCAGAACTTCTAGATGTAAACTCGCAATTGTGAAAAAAGTCAGAACTTCTAGATGTAAACTCGCAATTGTGAAAAAAGTCAGAACTTCTAGATGTAAACTCGCAATTGTGAAAAAAGTCAGAACTTCTAGATGTAAACTCGCAATTGTGAAAAAAGTCAGAACTTCTAGATGTAAACTCGCAATTGTGAAAAAAGTCAGAACTTCTAGATGTAAACTCGCAATTGTGAAAAAAGTCAGAACTTCTAGATGTAAACTCGCAATTGTGAAAAAAGTCAGAACTTCTAGATGTAAACTCGCAATTGTGAAAAAAGTCAGAACTTCTAGATGTAAACTCGCAATTGTGAAAAAAGTCAGAACTTCTAGATGTAAACTCGCAATTGTGAAAAAAGTCAGAACTTCTAGATGTAAACTCGCAATTGTGAAAAAAGTCAGAACTTCTAGATGTAAACTCGCAATTGTGAAAAAAGTCAGAACTTCTAGATGTAAACTCGCAATTGTGAAAAAAGTCAGAACTTCTAGATGTAAACTCGCAATTGTGAAAAAAGTCAGAACTTCTAGATGTAAACTCGCAATTGTGAAAAAAGTCAGAACTTCTAGATGTAAACTCGCAATTGTGAAAAAAGTCAGAACTTCTAGATGTAAACTCGCAATTGTGAAAAAAGTCAGAACTTCTAGATGTAAACTCGCAATTGTGAAAAAAGTCAGAACTTCTAGATGTAAACTCGCAATTGTGAAAAAAGTCAGAACTTCTAGATGTAAACTCGCAATTGTGAAAAAAGTCAGAACTTCTAGATGTAAACTCGCAATTGTGAAAAAAGTCAGAACTTCTAGATGTAAACTCGCAATTGTGAAAAAAGTCAGAACTTCTAGATGTAAACTCGCAATTGTGAAAAAAGTCAGAACTTCTAGATGTAAACTCGCAATTGTGAAAAAAGTCAGAACTTCTAGATGTAAACTCGCAATTGTGAAAAAAGTCAGAACTTCTAGATGTAAACTCGCAATTGTGAAAAAAGTCAGAACTTCTAGATGTAAACTCGCAATTGTGAAAAAAGTCAGAACTTCTAGATGTAAACTCGCAATTGTGAAAAAAGTCAGAACTTCTAGATGTAAACTCGCAATTGTGAAAAAAGTCAGAACTTCTAGATGTAAACTCGCAATTGTGAAAAAAGTCAGAACTTCTAGATGTAAACTCGCAATTGTGAAAAAAGTCAGAACTTCTAGATGTAAACTCGCAATTGTGAAAAAAGTCAGAACTTCTAGATGTAAACTCGCAATTGTGAAAAAAGTCAGAACTTCTAGATGTAAACTCGCAATTGTGAAAAAAGTCAGAACTTCTAGATGTAAACTCGCAATTGTGAAAAAAGTCAGAACTTCTAGATGTAAACTCGCAATTGTGAAAAAAGTCAGAACTTCTAGATGTAAACTCGCAATTGTGAAAAAAGTCAGAACTTCTAGATGTAAACTCGCAATTGTGAAAAAAGTCAGAACTTCTAGATGTAAACTCGCAATTGTGAAAAAAGTCAGAACTTCTAGATGTAAACTCGCAATTGTGAAAAAAGTCAGAACTTCTAGATGTAAACTCGCAATTGTGAAAAAAGTCAGAACTTCTAGATGTAAACTCGCAATTGTGAAAAAAGTCAGAACTTCTAGATGTAAACTCGCAATTGTGAAAAAAGTCAGAACTTCTAGATGTAAACTCGCAATTGTGAAAAAAGTCAGAACTTCTAGATGTAAACTCGCAATTGTGAAAAAAGTCAGAACTTCTAGATGTAAACTCGCAATTGTGAAAAAAGTCAGAACTTCTAGATGTAAACTCGCAATTGTGAAAAAAGTCAGAACTTCTAGATGTAAACTCGCAATTGTGAAAAAAGTCAGAACTTCTAGATGTAAACTCGCAATTGTGAAAAAAGTCAGAACTTCTAGATGTAAACTCGCAATTGTGAAAAAAGTCAGAACTTCTAGATGTAAACTCGCAATTGTGAAAAAAGTCAGAACTTCTAGATGTAAACTCGCAATTGTGAAAAAAGTCAGAACTTAGAGATGTAAACTCGCAAATGCGAAAAAAGTCAGAACTTAGAGATGTAAACTCACAAGAAAGAAAGTCAGAATTGTGAGATAGAAAGTCACAATTACCATTTTTATTCCATGGCGGAAACAAGCTTCCATAATTTTGACTGTACTGTTGATCAAATAAATGCATCTGGGTGAGCAAAAGATACTTCTTTCATAAACATTAAAAATCATAATTATTCCAAAAGTTTGAGCAATAGTGTATAAATGCACTTTGTAAGTACTAATGCTTCCTCAGGTGTCCAGTACACTAAATACGGCTGTCGGAGGAAGAGTGACGGGCGTTTGGTTCACAGGAACTTCTGTGAGATCAGTAAAAAGCCCAAACCCATCCGGAAACGCTGCAACACCAACAGCTGCAGCCAGCCCACGTGAGTGACCTGAGACTAAACATGTATTCCGGTAATGCCATATATCACAATAATGAACATGCACGATATTGTTATCGTGGGCACTTCCAAATACCGTGAATATTAAACATATTGACAAATAAATAGAATGAGATCCACAAAAAAATCTTTCAGTTTCACAAACATTAATTAAATTCACAAAAAAAGACAAATTTAATTAGATTTGCAAATAAAAAACATATTCACAAATATCTTTTTATGTCACAAGCACAACTTTGCCTGGCATTCATTTGTGAATCGCTGCAAGCATTTGTGCATTTTGCAACATTTCTAGCATCGAGGCACTGACGATTCACAAATGCGTGGACTCCACCCACCGTCTACTCAAGCCAATCAGATAACAGCCTCACTTCGCTGACCAATCATAGCACGTTCTTGTTATAGCCAATCACGTTTTGCTTTACAATCAGAGTGGTCTCGCCCTGAAATAACTTCTGCATTGGTTCAAATAGAAAATATAAAGGTATATATTTATAACGTTAACATTAACATTAGTTAAATTAGCATTAGTTAATTCATTAGTTAATATAAACTGCCAATAAACAATTCTTCTCAACATTCATTAATTAGGTAATTTCTATATTTAATAACACGTTAAAATCAAAAGTTGCAACTTCCAGCTAACAGTTGTATCTTTTAACAAAAGTTAAGAGTTAAAGTGATACCTATTGGTCTTTATAATTCCTTTGCACTTTAATCAGTGTGGGAAATTTTTTTGTGTTTTGCTTTATTGTATTTAAATGTTTAGTTCTTTTTGTCATAAGAAAGAAGTTATTAAACCTGTTATACTGTATTATGACAACACTTTTTTGCACTCAAGCAAATGTATCTTGACTTAACAATGTTTAGATATTTATGCTGAAAAATGATGCAGTGTAATCTAAATTGAGATTTTTATATTAATATTTTAATCATTAATAATATTAATTAAACAATAATATCAAATAAATAATATAACCTTAGTGTTTAGAAGTTTAGTTTCATGTGCAGAAGAATGTGATTAAAGGACTGCAGTTGGGTGGATTGCAAAAAAAGAAAGCAAAAATATTCGCAAAATTCTGTTCAGTTTCAGCCATTATAGGGAGTATGCAAATATGGAAACAAAGATGTTAAGACTATCCTTGAAGGTTGAATGTTATAAATATAAGGACTTGTGAATGTATGCTAGCCATGTGTACCTGTCATCTTGCAAAATGACTTCCCAAGGTATTTTGATTCCGTTTTTGTTGCTTGTCTTGTGGATCCAAATAAAATAATTAAATGTGTGTGTGCGTACGTGTGTGTGAGAGGGTGTGTGTGTGCTTGTATGTGTGTGTTTGAGTGTGTGTGTGTGTGAGTGAGTGAGAGTGTGTGTGTGTGTGTGTGTGTGTGCGTGTGTACGTTTGTGCGCGCGCGTGTGTGTGTGTGTATGTGTGTGTGTGTGTGAGTGAGTGAGAGTGTGTGTGTGTGTGTGTGTGTGTGTGTGTGTGTGAGAGAGTGTGCGTGTGTGTGCGCGTATGTGTGTGTGTGTGTGTGTGTGCGTGTGTGAGTGTGAGAGTGAGTCAGTGAGTGTGTGTGTGTGCGTGTGTGTGATCAGACGAGCTCATTCACGAAAAATTCACAGAGCTGGAAGAAATTGTCAGCTTTGTGCTGGACTGAATGAGTGTTTCTGTTGTACAAGCTGTATATTTTGGAGCTCGTCTTAATCTGGGTCTGCAGACGTGGTTGTGAAGTTTAATGGTGTGGAAACTGCAGCACAATGGAGTTTAGACTAGTTCTGTGTCTTTCGTTTTCACGCTTGAAATCCACGATTTTTTCTTTTGACATCGCGAAACTGCAGCGTGAGGGAAATGACATCATGTTTAAAGTGGATGAAAGTTCATTAGTTAAAGCAAACGGATGAAAGATTTCCTGTCAAAACACTGACAGTAACGACACTCCTCTCAAGATGCCAGAGGATAAACGCTTAATATGACAAGCCATCACACACACACACACACACACACACACACACACAGACAGACACACACACACACACACACACACACACAGACACACACACACAC